CCCCGCCGGGGTGGGCCCCCCCGTCTCTGGTGTGTGGGCGAGGCGATCTGCACCGCTTGCCTTAGTCCCCTGTCGCACACAGAGGCCCAGATGGCAGCTTGCGCTGTCCTACCCTGCCTGCAGTATGCAACTGCATTGTGCCTACATATGCAAATTAACCACCATCTTAGTTGGCAGTTAACTGCCAATCTTAGTTAGCAGTTAATTTGCATATAGCCCTGATTAGCCAATGAAAAGGGTAGCATCGTACGCCAATTACCATTTTTCTCTTTTATTAGTGTAGATGGTTAAGATTTAAAGTGAAATAACTTACTGATTTGGCCAAATTTAGCAATAATATTATCTAAATAATGTGCTATTTTCTCCTGTTAGCTCTGGACAAAATGTTGCTATATCTGGAACTGCCTTTAGCCTTTCAAGCTAAAAATATCCCATAGCACATGTTACATATTTATCCACTTAACACCCACTTTCTCATATTAGAATAGTGGTGGGAATATCCATCCACATGCCATCTAATGCACATGAAGTCATTTGGTCTGGCTCTGCCAAGGCATCATATATTTGGCCTCTGAGTTAGTTAAATGTTTGACCAAATATAGCAGACTAATTTTTAAGTTGATAATTTTGTATGGCCTGCGAATGATGTTATAAATATCCAAATGGCCCTTGGCAGTAAAAAGGTTCCCCATCCATGTATTAGAGTAATCAAGAACATAGTCTGAGGAGCCAGACTCTGAATATTGATCTGATCTTTACTAACTGTGGAACTTTGATTTGTAGTTCTGTCATGGGTAAAAGTGGATTAATTGTATTATCTACTTTATAGGATTAAATGAGTTAAGAGAACCTATGGACACAGACAATAGTGTGGTGAAGATCTGGGGTGGGGTTGGGTACAGGCTAGTAGGGGTCAATAGGGAAAAAAAGGGACATATGTAATATTGTAAAAAATAAAGATTAATAAAAGTTATCTGCATCGGATGATCCTATATAATAAAAGTGTAATATGCTAAGTGTGTTGTCGTCCAGTCATCTATTCAATCAATCAAAGTGTCATATGCTAATGATATGTGGAGGCTGCTTAACTGCTCGCTATGACGTGCACTGACCACCAGGGGGAAGATATTCGACTGGTCCACCAGTTGCAATGATGTGCGCTGACCACCAGGGGGCAGATGCTCCTACCAGTAGGTTAGCTTGCTGCTGGGGTCTGGATGATTGGGACTGAGAGAGATGGCCGGACATGCCCTGTAGCCCTCCCGTGGTCCCTCCCCAACTGGCCAACCTTCTGTGTCCCTCCTCAGCCCCGATCATGCACTGGTGGAGTCCCTCGTCCTGGCCCGTGTCCTGTCGCAATCCAGGACCCTCGGGGTATGTTGGAGAGCAGGTTTTGGCCCTTTCCCACAGGCCAGGCTGAGGGACCCATTGGTGCTGTAATTTGTGCACAGGGCCTCTAGTAAGAAAATAACTGAGTTAAAAGATACACGGAAAATTCTTAGCATAACCCCCTTATACAAAGTAAGTGTTCAACACATTAAATTTTTTTTTCATTTAAAAGTTAAATATTGGGGTGGCATTAGTTAATTACATTATATAACTTTCAAGTATATAATTCTATAGTACATCATGTGTATATTGCACTCTGTGCTCACCACCCAAAGTCTACTCTCATTTTGTCACCGTATATTTGACCTCTTATCTTTTACTCTCTTCAACCTTTCTCTCATTCCCTTTCCCCTCATGTAACCACCATACTCTTGTTTATGTCTATGAGGTAGTTTGTGTTGTTTGTTCATTGGTTGCTTTCTATTTGAATAGTATTCTATTGTATGTATTAACCACATCATCTATATTCAGTCATCCATCAAAAGACACTTAGGTTGTTTTCAAGTATGATCCTGTGATGAACATGGGGGTACATATATCTTTATGCATAAATATTTTCAAATTATTAGGAATTACCCAGAATAGAGATTGCTGGGTCATATGCTAGCTCTATTCTTAATTTTTTAAGGAACCTCCATACTGGTTTTCATAGTGGTGACAACATGAATAAATCTTGAGAATATCATGCTAAGTGAAATAAATTAGACAGAAAAAGTAAAATACGATACGATTTCATGTATATGTGGTATATAAAACTAAAAGTAGCAAATGAACAAAAAGAAAAATGAACAAAAACTTATAGACACAGACAACAGTTTGGTGGTTACCAGAGGAAATGAAAATTGTGGGGACCGTAAAGGAGGTCAAATACATGGTGACGGAATAAGATTTCACTTTGGGTGGTGAGCACACAATGCAATATACAGATAAGACATTTATCATAGACTGGTACACTTGAACCTATATAATTTTATCAATGTTACTCCAATAAATTTAATCTTAAATAATTAAAATTTCTGCCAGCACTGTATGAGGGTCCTCTTTTCTCAACAACCTCTATAACACTTGTTATTTCTTGTTTTATTGATAATAATCATTCTAACAAGTGGAAGCTATCTCATTGTGGTTTTGATTTGCATTTCCCTTATAAATAGTGAAATTTAGCATCTTTTCAAATATCTGTTGACCGTTTGTATGTCTTTTTGGGAAAAGAGTCAGATCAGGTTTTCTGCCCATTTTTTAATTGGAACAGTTGTGTTTTTTTTTGTTGTTATTGAGTTGTATGACTTCTTTATATATTTTGGATATTAGCCCCTTATTGGAGGTATTCTTTGCAAATAATTTTCCCATTCAGTGAGTTGCCTTTTTGTTTTGTTTATGGTTTCATTTTTATGTGCAGAAGCTTTTTAGTTTGCTATTGTCCCATTCATTTATTTATTTTTGCTTTACTTCCTTTGCCTTTGGGATCAAATTCATAAAATCCTCTCTGAGACCCAGTACCTGCCTTTTATGTATTTTAATGTTTTAGGTCTTAGATGTATTAGATCTACTTTGTGTTACTTTTTGTGTAAAGTAGCAGTGTCACATACCAATCTAGTTTCATTCTTTTGCATGTTGTTTTCTAATTTTCTTATCACCATTTATTGAAGAGCCTTCCTTTTCTCCTCTATACGTTTATGGCTTCTTTGTTGAAAATTAGTTGCCCATACATAAGGGTTTATTTCTGGACTCTCGATTTTGTTCCATTGGTTCATGTATTTGTTTTATTTTGTTGGTTTGCTATTTTGCAAATACCATGCTGTTTTGATTATTGTAGCTTTGTAGTATCACTTGAAATCAGGGAATGTGATACCTCCAGCTTTGTTCTTTTTCTTCAGAATTGCTTTCGCTATCCAGGGTCTTCCGTGGTTCTATACAAATTTAGGATTTTTTTGGTTCTATTTCTTTGAATAATGCCATTGGGATATTGATGGGGATTGCATTAGGGTTGAATATTGCTTTAGGTAATATGCCCATTTAACTATGTTAATTCTTTTAATTCATGAACATGGAATATCTTTCCATTTCTTTGTGTTGTCTTCAATTTCTTTCAACAGTGTCTAATAGTTTTCAGTGTATAGGTCCTTCATATCCTTTAAGTTTATTCCTAGATACTTTATTCTTTTTGTTGCAATTGCAAAATGGAATTGTTTCCATTTTTCCCATGAAATTTAATTGTTAGTATATAGGAATGCAATAATGTTTTTACACTGTATCCTGCAACTTTATTGTACTTTACTTATTGTT